CTCATCCATGAGCGCTGCTTCAGCGTGCTGTAAGCCCAGGCACGAGAGGCAGTGATCATGACCGTCAGATGAAGGCAGGAAACGACCACATCCAGAAATGCACGAGCGGGAAGCCATCTTTAAAAAGACGCCCGTCACTCGTGGAGCTCTTTTAGACATTTGCTCTTTTAGGAAAAAAAGGAAACACTCTTTTAGAGAGAGCGCTGAAGCGCCCAGGGGAGGTCGCAGCGAGACCGCAGAATGGCAGCTGCAGCACGCCGAAGATGAGCAGCACTGAATGGCAACCCCGCTGACGTGCCGTAACACCAACGCCAGCTGTTTCTTCCAAACACTCGCGGAGATTTGTCCTGAGAAGGCTCGGCTGCGAAGCGAAAAGCTGATGTGCGTTTGCACGCGCTCTCCTTTTATACCCGTGCTGCGGGGCGGGGTGCGCGTGGCGAAACACGCACGCCAACTGTCATTGGCTTGTTTAGTTTACACTCGAAGGTGATTGGGCTCTCGGGCGAGATCCCAATTCGTCAGTCACTGACGTAACGTAGAACGTGACTGACTGAATGGGAACCTATGGATTTTAGTTGTTTGGATATTGCCATACAATCTCTGTTTAAATGTTTGTTTTCCTCTCCACAGCAACCCGTCCTCCCGGCGGCTGTCACACAGATGAGTTCCAGTGTCGTGTGGATGGTTTGTGTATTCCCCTCCGCTGGCGGTGTGATGGAGACACTGACTGCATGGATCTGAGCGATGAGAAGAACTGCGAGGGTGTAACACACATGTGTGATCCAGCAGTAAAGTTTGGCTGCAGGGACTCTGGTAATGATGCAGAAAATATACGTTATATGTTCTCAGTTTAATTATCTTATTTTGAGATTCAGTGATCCATGAGTAGACTGAGTTACGAGTGAATGGGTCATAATCATCACACTCTTGGTAATGTTTTCAGAATAAAATGCAAAGTGACTCAAAAACAAATCAGTGGAGGCAATAATAAAACATTCTCGTAAAATGTCCTCTCTCTCTTTAGAGTATTCTTGGGTATTCAGTTTATAATAGCAAATTGATTCATGCAGATGTTGTTGTAATGAAAACAATTGGCCAAATCAATTGAGTCATCGCTCACAATTGTTTCCAGAGGTTCATTTGTAGCAAAACATATAGTAAAATATTTGGTCCCACTTTATATTAGAGAAATTAATTATAGATGTAATTACATGCCGTTATTTTTTTTAAATATAAGTACATTGTTAAACCATGTATATATTCAAAAAGTGCATTGTATACAATGATGTATTTATGTTAAGATATTTCATATATTTAATATTATATATATGGTTATATATATATATAACCATTTAATATTCATATTTAATACACATGGGTCACATTGCACAGTACTATATGTTTCAGTTCTGTTACACCAATAACATTTTTATTTAAACAGCTTTAGGAATCTTAATGGAATAAGAATCTAGTATTTGAATGAAAAGGTAGTTAGGTAACAGTAACTTTTACTGTGAAATATTATTACTTTTAAGTAAAAAGTATGATTCACTTTATAATGTATGAAGAAAAGATTCCCAGAGTTCATTGTTCACAAGGTCTTTAAGCGTCTTCTTTGTAGTTACTTTTGTCAGTTAACAATCATATTCTGTGTGTGTTTGTGGTGTAGCGCGGTGTATCAGTAAGGCTTGGGTATGTGATGGTGACAGTGATTGTGAAGATAACTCTGATGAAGATAACTGTGAGGCGCTGGTGTGTAAACTCTCCCATCACGTGTGTGCCAATGACACCAGCATTTGTCTGCCCGCCGAGAAACTGTGTGATGGCAAAGACGACTGTCCCGACGGCTCCGATGAGAAACTCTGTGGTAAGATTCATCACTGTTACATGAGGCTCGATGAAGCCTGAGATGATGCTCATTGAGTGCAGACTGAAACTCACACTAGCAGGACGTGGATGGAAACACTCACACTGATACCATTATACTATATAATTAGTGGTGCCTGATACTGGTATTGGTGTTTTAAAAATCTGCATTGTCGGCTACACAAACGTCAAGTTCTAATTTATGGAAATTTAAAAAAATAATATTTGCTGAAGATGTCCTTACCCTCAGGCCATCCAAAATGTAAATGAGTTTGTTTCTTCAGATTTGGAGAAATGTAGCACTGCATCACTTGCTCAGCAATGGATGCTCTGCAGTGAATGGGTGCCGTCAGAATGAGAGTCCAAACAGCTGATAAAAACATCACAATAATCCACAAGTAATTCACACCACTCCAGTCCATCAATGAACGTCTAGGGAAGTGATGCAATTGTACATTTCTCAAAATCTGTTTCCATGAACAAACAAACTCATCTACGTCTTGAATGGCCTGCGGTTGAGTATTTTCACTTTTATTTATTCGAATTTGCGAATATACCTCAGCGACTTAAGACTTGTTTTGTGCTCCAGGATCACATATTGTGTTATCGTGTCAACCTTCCTTTGTTTTTACTGTCTAACTGCAATGTTTCTTTTGGTTTAGATCTGTGTTCTCTGGACAACGGTGGCTGCAGCCATAACTGTACAGTGGCCCCGGGAGAGGGCATTCTGTGCTCGTGCCCACTGGGAATGGAACTGGGCACTGACAACAAGACGTGTCAGATCCAGGGCTTCTGTGCCAAACACCTGAAGTGCAGCCAGCGCTGTGAACAGGACAAGTTCAATGTGAAGTGTTCCTGCTATGATGGCTGGGCCCTCGAACCTGACATGGAGAGCTGCAGGAGCACAGGTGAGATCAGCTCTTCCAAAGCCTACTGAGCTACATACGCTCATTAAAATCTTCAGGCATACATTTAATTCATATAATAAATTTAAGTTATCTTCTTTCTTTTTTTTAAATTGCATATAACATTTTTATAATATAAACTAATAAACTTAATGTGATGCATATTTGTCAGTATTACATTAATGAAACAGGTAAGGTATTATTATTTAAATTAAATCAAATGCATGTATTGTATTATCCCAGTTTCATTCATATATGACTGACAGTCATCACAGTAAGTTTATTAGTTTATGTTAAAACTGTGTAATCCAAACAGGTGGAAATTTTATATAGTTTAGTTTAGTCCTTTAGACACGGTTTTGTTTCTGCCATAAACACCAATGCTGGAAAAATAAATAAACACATAACAACAACAACAACAATAATAATAGTAATAATAATGAGGATTTTAAAAAAAATTGTCTCTGAATGAAAAGTGTTTGACAGTATGTCCCAAAATATTTCCACAAACAGACAGAAGGAATCGGTAAAGTCTAAAAAAAACTAGAGTGGGTATGAAAACGGTTGAGGTTCACAATGTTTGGCAGAAGATGAACAACTATGTGCACTGGAGGAAAAATCATTGCAGCTGGGGTTGAGGGGTCTTTCATTCCAACATAAGAAAACATTTCTGGAATCTGTATCTGAAATGGCATTTAGCCTACAGTTTAATGTATCTCAGAGGGGACATGGATGCATTTAACCTGCAATTACAGATGCATAAATAGGCCTAAAGTTTTGTTTTTAACATAAAACATTGAATACTGATATTTGAAATCATTTAATTTTAACATGAAAAAAATAGTC